TTGTGAAATACGAAAAATTTGAAAAATCTCATCGATTATTAATTGCATTTGTAAAAAAAAAAAAATTATTTTAATGGGCAATTTTCATATAAAATAAAGAAAAACAAACACTAAAATTTGATTAAAAAAATGATCTTTTAGGAATTTTTTTTTTTTTACTTTTTGGCAATGGAAACAAATTTTATATCTAATTGTGAAAAAATAATCACTTTAATGGACAATTTCTATATAAAATAAAGCCAAATGAACACAAAAAGATTCAAAATTTGAAAATTTTCTGGGTGGAAAATTATACCAATCAAACATATTTCATTAACAATTCCCTACAAAACAATTTTTAGACAATTATTTTCTCTGTAATTCATTTTCTTTCCACCCATTTTCCACCATTGCAATCTAACGGACCCTTAATGAAACATAAGGTGGAACAGAATCCTCTTCTTGCTGCAATATGAAGAATAAAGGCTTCAAAAGGAATCAAAGTTATTCTTTGACTTGGAATGCATTTGAATTTCAATGTCCTAGCCACTGCCATGGGGGAAAAAAACAGCTTCATTTTTATCATTCTGTAAATTTGAAAGGATTAAATATGTTTTCTGAGAACTTTGATTCGTTGTTTCCATGATTTCAGTTAATGAAAATTTTGATTTCACGATTCTGTCTCTCAATATTATGGGGCTTTATTGCTTGGTTTCTTGATTTCCCACATAAAGGTGGAGTTGATTTTACTTTCGGGTAGAGTATGTCCTTTTACTGGGAAAAAATAGACAAAGGCAAACAAAGTTTCCCATTCTAACCGCAAGACAAAGAGGCTGCCGTTTGTGAATCTACAATATAAGAGCATTTGGTGGGAGGCTGGGAAGCGCTATGTTAAATTGAGGCTGTCAACCAAAGCTCTCAAGACCATAGAGAAGATTGGACTTGATGCAGTGGCTAAGAAGGCTGGAATTGATCTTAGTAAAATGTAAATTGTAATGTTCCTTTTTTGTTCTGAATTATCGACGTTTAATGTTTTATGCAAGGTTTTTGTCTTCCATATGATGTAGCTTCTCTCTCTTTTATTGTTCATTATCTATTTCTTTGCAAAGTCCCCATAAGTTAGTCATAATTTAGTTAAAATCCTCCATCTCCTTTCACTCTTTTGAATGCATATAAAAATGTACGCCATTATTGACTCATTTTGTCTAATATTAACTGCCCCCAACGAAAGAAAAAATAAACAAGAAAAAACAAATATCGTTACATCAAGGATCTCCATCATAAAAACGCTCCTTATAAACATTGATTTGCTTGAATGCAAATACATCCTCAACAGTTCTTTGAATTGCATCGATTAAAAGGTTCGACCAGGGCAAATTCTTGGAGAAGGGCTGCAGCCTCAAAGCACTCTGTCGCGGCTCCCATTGCTGAACTACCTTCACTCTACAGAGTAGCCCAAGATTGTACCGTGCTGAAGGGTTAGTTCTTTTGAGACGCAATGTATCAGTTAGAAAGCTTTTGGCAACTGCCAGTGATTGGTTACTTCGTTGCCTAAGAACAGCAGCTGTAGATATCAAGCTCGGAACATGGTTTGGTTCAATATCTAGGGCCTTCCCAAAAGTCTGGAGAGCCTCCTTGTGGAGGCCTTCTGCTTCATAAAATAAACCTGTCAAAATAAGAAAAGAAACTGTTCACCTGGATTGTCGAGTTCATAGTTCAAATCTTTCATGATTAAATGCCTCTAGCTGAAGAACAAAGGAAAATGTGTTATGGATCAAGTCCTAATGCTGACTGCGAAAGCAACAATAAGCAAGCAGAAATCAGATAAAAACGCAAAACAAAAACTGAGATTTATAGTTATTCACCTCAATGTGGAGTCATGTCCACTTGCTGGTGTAGATATACTAAAATCAAGTTTACAATGAAGATCTTATGCCTCTCAATTTGTGTATCTACCAAAAGCGACCCAAACAACTTCCTTTATACGTAAGAATTTAGGGCGACCTAGTACAAAATATGAGTACCATATATTTCTTTATAATAAAATGCTCCTAAATGAATATGTTTATCTGTGGTCGATGAGACAAGTAAACAATATAACTACGCTCCCCACAATCCTACACTATGAATATTCTAACGCGTGAAATAATGGGAAAAAAAATGGGATTCTACACTAACTAGTTCTCCAGGGAGTATTTTCCTGGGAACTTTGTGAAAGAGCAAACAATTGTCCCAAGTGCCACAATGAATGCTGCGCAGATTCATAATTTAGGCCCTTCTTTTTAGAGCAATAATTGAATACGGTTCATTTAAGTGTCCTCTAGCAAGAATGCTTGCTGCTATTGATTTGAACATTTACAAATTTTGCTCCTGCCACTTCAAAAGAAGAAATATAAAAGCGATAAGGGAAATTGACCAGCCACGTGTAGAAATTGTTCTATGCATCATGCATGGTTCTTGCATTTCCATACTTGTTCTCAAGAATGGACTGAATTCTACCCACTGATTCTCCTCACTTACTCAATAATATGGCAATGAACTCCAGGAAACAGATGGAAAATTAATAATCCCATTGTTCATTAGAGCAGAAGCAGTCCATAAGGACAATCACAAATCACGGTTGTCAATCACTCCAACATGACAGTTGCTCATATTTGAACATAAAGTGTCTTAAAAGACAAATGGAAACGAAAAAAATACCTGTGGAATGCCATCTAGAAGCAGAATGAGAAATGATGACCTAAGATTTTGAAAGACAAATTTCAGTGTCCCGCCATTGAGACAAGCTCGTATACACATTTGCTATATCATGCCACGTTTCCATTTCTAAACTCCTGATATCGTTCCTCCTGTTCTATGGATTGAATAAGGTCAAGCGAGTAATGAAAATGAATGTGAAAAGAGAAAAGCATGGCCTAACATTATCCAAAGCTTAGTTTGCACTTCAACTTATTTACTTTTCCAGCTCATGATAAGCTGAACTTAAAAGTAAGTGTAAGTTACTTTGTAACTTTTTACTATCCTAATGTATTTGGATATCTTACTTTTTTTCTTACCTTTAAGTAACCAAAAAACTTATTTGGAAGGTCACACTTCACTGCCAATATTTCCAATTTTAATAAAAAAAAAATATTTATTTTGGCTTATTTACTCATAAGTAAAATTTTCAAGCTTATGCAGACATGCTTATAATGTAACAATACCTTTAAAAGCTTTTTCTGGATTCCAAAACTTTTTCTCTGGACTTGAGGAACAGCAAGAAGTTTAGTATATGTCTCGATTGAATCCGTTAAATTTCCATGTGCAATCTGCAGTTTGGCCTTAGTCCATAGCAATTCTCCTTGATCCCACTTTCCTGTCTCATCCAGAGCAGCATCAATTATGTTCTCGGCATCAATATACCTTTTTTAAGCTGACAAAATATGAGCAAGAAGAATCCATCCCTTTATGCTAGACCCAGCCTCCAGTTTCAAAAGCTGTTTAGCATAATAAAGAGCAACATCCAACTTCCTTTGTTCGGCATTTTCTAGACTAATATGAAACAAAACACTAAAATTTTTCCACTTTGTCATTCTTTGAGCAGTTTTAAGGGCCTCGAGTGCTTTAGATTGTCTGGACGTCCTCTGAGATTCAGAACCGACACCTCTAGATTGAACTGAAAGAGAGACACCTAGTAAACAATTTGCAACACTAGCCAACTCGTTTCATTTTCCGTCGAATTCAGAAAGAAGTTTGTATACTTATCCTATTCCTTCTTCAAGACAATTAATCTCTATGCAAATCTTTGTAGCTAATAATAATTCAAATATAGTGTTATGGTTCTCTCTATTATTCAATAGGTTCCTCAATAAATTTAAAGCAATCACATTGTCACCTTTCGCATAGTAACACTGAGCTAAAGAAGTGTATTTTTCTTTTCCTTCGATGATTCCTGGAGGCAACTCTTCAACTTGATAGGCAAGGGACCTAAATTCACCTGCTATAGATAATGCAAAAAAGAGGCGATTCAATCCTCATGAGGCTATATTTTTGGAGAATAAGCAGTAGTAGGAGAACAGCCTCTTCTATATTGTTTCTAGGTATATATCCGCCCTCCATCTGTACATGAAGATTTGGAGGGGTTGCGTCATTACCACTATAAAGGAGGAATATAGCAAAGTCCTTTTCTACTTTTGTTCTGGCTTCTATATCAAAATTCCACTGATAAAGTAAGGCCCGTCTATAAGCTAAAATTGCTTCTCGAGGAGTATAAGCAAGTTTCCATAACTCTGGAAGTAACTTGACAGCTTTGTTTAAGGTCTCGAGCAATTTACAATCAAAAGCAAAATTTTCAGGCAAGCCATCTGGCGTTGCAGATTCAACAGTGTCCAAAATCACTTTGCATGATTGAGCTGGCTTATGCAAATCGCAAGGATGAAACTTAGCATTTCAATCCAAAGATATGCTGCAAATAATTATAACCACGGTCCATGAATTTGTAAACATATGCACATGCATAGACCAGGGATTGAGAAAGAGAAAATTATCAGCACATACCACTATATAGTGAAAAAGGTTAAGTACCTGTAAACCTTCCAAGAGCCTGCAGTGATTTTGCTTTTAGAAAAATAGCTTCAAAGAGCAAACTTACGGCATGAATAGACATGGATGGAGTAGCATTATCAAAGCTAGCTGTCTATGATTATCAATGCTAGCTGCCTATAATTGCTGTCTATGACAGAACATTCCTTATAGGCTGTAGGTAGATGTATTTCAATTGTAATTAAGACTATCCACATATAACATGGACTGTGCTTAGTAGGTGCTTAGATTGAGGGATTCTAATGAATGTAACTGATGTCATCTACTCTATATACTTTGAGAATACAGAAATGGAACATAGATTTCCAGCAAAGTCTATTTTTTGTCATGGTATCAGAGCAAGGATAGGAATTCTCACCTTTCTTTCTCTGTCTTATGAGATACAAAGTTATTATTTGTGTCTTTCCTTGAGCATCAGAGTTTTCCTTCCTGGGTTTTTTTTTTTCTGGATATTAATTTCTTTCAAGGGTTCAGAGTCTGGTTTTGGAGATTCTAATCTTCGATTGCTGTAGCATATTTTCTCGATTGTACAATCATGCCTTTGACAAATTGAGTCTTTTGCATCCGTTTTACGGGAAAGAATTATTCTGCTTGGGAGTTTCAACTTCAAATTGTCAAATATACTCAATAAAAGACTTGATGCCCCTTTTTGTGAGAGGTTCTCTCATTAAATNGACGATCTCCGAAATCTTATTCAATTTTCGACGATCTCCGTAATCTTATTCAATCTCACTGACATCCCCCCTCAAATTGATGCTAGCAAAAGCATCAATTTGCAATCATGAACTAGCCACAGTGACAATACTTGTGCCCATTAAGAAGAAATCCAAATCAAAGCAACCAACTACGAAAATTAGTGACGACGAGAGACCAAGAACAACAAATAATGCAGAAACAACAAAGAACTACTCCAAAGTACTCCAAGAACACTCCAAAGATACTACGAGAACTCACACTCCCCAAGAAGAATTTTCAAAAAAAATTCACGAAATGTGCCGACACACATAGTGAGCTCTATGTGTCGAGAGAATTTAGTCGAACACATAATTTGTGTTCTAACAAAAGGACTAACACCAAAACACCGGCCAAAACTCTAGATGCTGCAGGTGGAAGAAATCCCACAAAATAGCCTAAACTTGAGCTCATCACCTGAGCAACCAAAACGCGATGATCTGCACTCTCATGTCTCTCTATACTTACGAAACACAATATAAAAGGAAAGGAGGGGGGGGGGGGGGGGGGAATCAAAGCCCAATCCAAAAAAAGAGTTGAACACGGTTAATTTTTTTAGGTGGAGATATGTATTGACTTGTAAAACTGCAAAAAATGATCGTGTTTATTCAAAAAAAAAATTGGCCGGGCAAGCAGCACAAGACCGCCCACCGAAAACGAAATTCAAGAGTTAATTTGTTTAGGATCAGAACGGCTCTGATACCATGTCAAATATACTCAATAAAAGACTCGATACCCCTATTTGTGAGAGGTTCTCTCATTAAATATGACTAAAATAACAACTAAATATAGAAGCAATCAATTACAATATTAATTAATGATAAAAACAATAATATATCTATCTCCGAAATCTTATTCAATTTTCGACGATCTCCGAAATCTTATTCAATCTTCGACGATCTCCATAGTCTTATTCAATCTCATTGACACAAATATATGTCAAAGGGAAGGAATTGTAGCAACATCTTGATGGATCTAATTCTAGACCTACTGACGCTGCTAAAATGGCTGAATGCGATGTGAAGGATGCAAGAATCATGAGTTGGATATTGAGATCAAGGAGCCTCAAATAGTGCCAAATCTGAGGTCCTATAAAACAGCAAAAGGTATGTGGGACTACTTGAAATGTGTTTACAATCAAGATAATGATGCTAGAATATTCCGGTTAGAGTTTTAGATTGCAAACTATACCCAAGGAAGCTTGTCTATTCAAGATTACAATTCTGGCTTTATTAATTTGTGGACTGAATATTTTGAAATTCTGTATTCCAAAGTTCCTGCAGAATCTTTGCCTGCTATTTAATCAGTACATCAGAGAAGCAAGAGAGATCAATTCTTGATGAAACTTTGTCTAGATTTTGAAACTGTTCGATCTAACTTGATGAGCAGATCTCCTACACTATCTGTGGGCACTTGCCTCGCTGAACTCTTTCGAGAGGAACAACGTTACTCAACTCAGGTTATTATGGAGCAACAAAAGGAATCTAAAGGTCCTCTTAATCTGGCCTATGCAGCAAATGGGAGGTATAAGGAAAAGACATGAGAAATGTCCAATGCTACGATTGCAAGTGTTACCGTATATAGTTTGGTTCTAGCAATTGCCTTTATTTACTTTCCTTATAGATGAACTATTGTACAATATATATAGACAGTAGGGTACACAATACAAAGGCAAGATTTTACAGAAAATTCTCTCGATTGTTCGGCCTCTTTTTGACATGGTATCAGAGCCTACTTGTAGGCATCGCTGAATCTTTTTTTTTTTCCAGTTTCCTTCTGCCTTACCGTGGTCGTTCTCTTCGGTGCTTGATTTCCTCCTTTAGGTTTTCAAGATTTCTCATTCTCGTTTTGTTGGTGATTCCTTTTGGAATTCTAGGTCGACCGGTCTGTGGTCGCCTACTTCGGTGGTTCCAGTCGCCGTCTTCAGTACGACGGTGGTGGTGCTCGATTGCTGGTTGTGGTTCGGATTGGTCTTCGCCGTGTTTGAGTTGATCTTCGCCGACGGGTTGTGCGTGCGTCTCTGGTCTCTGTGTTACGCGAGTTATGGGTGTGTGGACTGTGGGTCTCTATTGGGCCTTTCTTTTGTGGGTCGGCTGTACCGTATCAGTTTGGGCTTTCTATAGTGGGCTGTTTCTTGAGTTGTACTGGGTTAATTATTTTTTAGGGTTGTGGTTGATTTGTTTATTAGGTTCATTATTTTTTCCAGCATGTCATCGAACAAGTTAGATTCTTTTCTTATTCGGTTTAATGGCAAAAATTACTCGGCTTGGGAGTTCCAATTCCAATTATTCGTCAAAGGAAAAGAGTTATGGGGTCATCTCGATGGAAGTGATCCCGCACCTACAGATACAGATGCTTTGTCAAATTGGGAAATTAAGGATGCTCGGGTTATGACTTGGATCCTTAGTTCGATCGAGCCTCACCTTATTCTGAATCTGAGGCCTTACAAAACTGCTGTTGATATGTGGAACTATCTTAGTATAATTTACAAACAGGACAACACGGCTCGACGATTTCAATTGGAATATGAGATGGCTAATTTTGCGCAGGGAAGTCTCTCGATTGAAGAATACTTCTCAGGTTTCAAAACCTATGGGCTAACTATTTAGATATAGTTTATGCTAATGTTCCTGTTGCCGCTTTATCTGCTGTTCAAACTGTGCACGAGACAAGTAAGAGGGATCAATTTCTGATGAAGCTTCGTCCCGATTTTGAGACTGCACGATCTAATCTGATGAATCGTCATCCTGTCCCATCTCTGGATACTTGTTTGGGTGAACTTCTTCGTGAGGAGCAACATATAGTTACTCAGGCTACCATGGAAAATAGGAATTCTGTTAGTGCTCCAGTTACCGTAGCTTATGCAGCACAGGGGAAGCACAAGGGTCGGGACATGCGTGCTGTCCAGTGCTATAGCTGTAAAGCTTTTGGTCACCTTTCTCGAGATTGTCCTAAGAAATACTGTCATTACTGCAAGAAACAAGGTCATTACATCTCTGTTTGTCCCATTCGGCCTGACAAGAAGCTTACTACTGCCTATCATACCTCGACTGGTGCCTCTAGTTTTGCGACTTTGCCTACCGCTTCACACGGTGTTTTTGCTCCTGCTTCCGTGTCCACTCACTCCTGAAATGGTACAACAAATGATCAATTCTGCTTTCTCTGCTTTTGGACTCTCGGGTAATCATACACCCTCTTCTATGCCATGGTTCTTTGACTTCGGCGCCTCTAATCATATGACCAACTCCGTTACTCCTCTTTCCAATGTCAGAAAATATGATGGCACTCTAAAAATTCACACCGCTAGTGGCAGTTCTCTGCCTATTAGCGATATTGGTGATCTTTCCTCTTCTTTAAATAATGTTTTTGTGTCTCCTCATCTCTCTACAAATTTAATTTCGATTGGTCAATTAGTTGATAGTAATTATGATGTTCATTTCTCTTGTTCTGGTTGTGTTGTGCAGGATCCGGTGTCCGGGAAGACGATCGCGAAGGGGCCTAAAGTGGGACGACTCTTTCCCTTACATCCATCTCCTTTCCCTCGCTCTCTTTTCCTTTCCTTTGCGTGTAATGCTATTGGTACTGATAATAAGTTGTGGCATAAACGTTTAGGTCACCCGAACTCAGATGTACTTCGTACTTTATTTAATTCTAATCTTTTGGGTAATATAGCATGTTATTCTGATTTTTCTTTTGATTGTTCTGCATGCAAACTTGGCAAGAGTAAGACTTTACCATTCCCCTCTCATGGATCTCGTTCCTCACAATGTTTCGATATTATACATAGTGATGTTTGGGGGATTTCGCCTATTATTTCTCACGCCCGTTATAAGTACTTTGTTACCTTCATCGATGATTTCAGTCGGTTTATTTTTTGAGGGCTAAATCCGAAGTCTTTTCAGTTTTTACGCGTTTCCTTGCTCTCATTGAGACTCAATTTTCTAGTGGCATAAAGATCTTGCGATCTGATTCTGGGGGGGAATATATGTCCGATCAATTTCAGGACTTTCTCCAACGCAAGGGTATTATCTCCCAACGTACTTGTCCTTCGACACCGCAGCAAAACGGTGTTGCTGAGAGAAAGAATCGTCACCTTCTTGATATGGTACGAACACTCTTAATCGATTCCTCTGTACCTTTATGATTATGGTGTGAGGCACTTTCCACTTCGGTTCATTTAATTAACCGTTTACCATCTCCTACTTTACATCATGCTTCTCTTTTCTTTAAGCTGTTTGGACATTCACCGTTATATTCTGATCTCCGTACATTTGGTTGTGTTTGTTTGTGCATCTTCCTGCTCATGAGTGTCATAAACTTACTGCTCAGTCG